CCATTTTAATTCACATCTTTTACGATCGAATGGCCGATGTTTTTTCAGCAGTCTAAACGGGATTTTCGGTTGCGGGTCACCCTGAAGTTGATTGCCCTAATGAGGTGATGACGGCATGCTCTAAAATAGTGGCAGTTTCTTGACAAAGGCAAGGACGCTTCAGCCGTAAAACACGAATACGATGATTTCAGATATTTTAGGCGGTGATACAGAGGTTTACTCACTGTCACCGGTGTACCATGAACCCCGTGGTTCTCGAGTCGAACTCCGCCACCGTCACCCAACTTTGGTGGCAGGCATCTTTTCTGTCGTCCGGTACAAAATACCATCCTAGTGAAGCCTTATGTGGTTCGCCACTCCAAGTTCCTGGGCTTAGATTTCCGGTTTCCACGAGTGAACAACAGTTCCGTGTGACTGTATAGTCCATCTGGTCTGCTGTTCCTCACGTGTGTGTTCCATAAAAATGCTTTCATTCAGTAGCATACGGATGTGATTGAACAGATTAAAGCAGTATCATCGGTAGGCAATGATATATCTCGAGCAAACGAACACGGCAGTTAAATCCCATCCCAACACGGGACCAGGCAGAGTAGGATCGACCGGTTAGATAATCAACCACGCCTCAAGTGAACATAGTGGAAGCGAGGGATGAGCTGCCTATTTTTACCTCTGGGGCAAGGCACTGGTAACAGTTTCACAGATTGGGCTGAGGCCGCCGAATTCCAGCAGCTTCAACAAACTGAAGTGTTTGTGTTATCTGATTATCATCCTGCATAACTGCGATCTCTGCCCATGCAATACATTCTAGTAAGTAATAATTCAAGTAGTGTGCGATGGAATTTTTCAGCATTTTCTCACTCCACCGAGCCAATATCTTCGGTATACATACATGCAAAAACTGGCTCATCCGCTAACAAAACTAATCAAACCAATCCGAGGGAAACTTTCATTCCGATAGATCCTATTAAGGTTATCAATAGAATCGGAAAGCTGAAGGTCACTGGGAAATACTTCATGTCTCACTAAGCCCGTCGCCTATGCACAAATGTCTCGTAGGGTGGAGGTCAGTGGCTTGCATGTCGTCATCCTCATGAACCGGATTTTTCAACAGATTGACTGGAATTCCTGTTGCTTTTTTGTCCGCAACATTTACAATTATTCGTTAACGAAAAGCTGCTCGAACAAATGCGCAGCGAATTAATAGCCCACTCGATCTAACACTTTCTGACTAATTTAAAGAAGCAAGCTGCTTGCTCACAAATTTCAACGGTTCCCTACAAACATTGAGCTCCTAATGGAACCTGGCAAGCAAAGCTGGCACACTGGTGAGCTCTCTATGTTCCACATGCTAAAACAGACTACTACTAAAGTTCTGCTTGTGCTCTACTTACTGGAGTTCGCCGAATCGGTTCACAAGAAACAGCTGAAAATCCCTGGTCGGTCCGCCACGGACACTACCAAATTTGTCAATAAATATGGTGCTAGTATAAAGGAAATGCTCCAGTTTCCCCGGGAACGTCTTCTTCACTAATATATGCAAAGCAAATGAAAGAGACAAAGCACTAACAACGAATGACCCATAATACCTTTTACACCGCTGAATTCATCGTCTTACACAAAACCCAGGCCCAGCAGTTGAATTGAATTTTGGGTAAGTCTGTTTCTGAATTCACCTCCATCTATCTATCTGGGATTCCTTGTTTCGGCAAGATAGAGGGCTAAATCGAGAGAACACAATCCATGTGGATTGTTGATTATTTACCCCATTTTGAAAAAGTAATGGTAGAAACTACTGTATGACGGCCGGTGAAAGGCTCAGTTCGAGTTCCGGCCGCGATTCAAAAATAACTCACCACTGAAGTATTAACGAGGACGAAACAGTTACCTAGTGTGGCTGTTGAACTCCGAAAAGGGTGAAACTCAACTAAATTGATCCCCGAGTGGATGAGCTGATAACCGTGTTTGTGAAGGTGACGTCTGGGTGATAATCTGTCAGAATCAATAGAGCAGTTCATTGCTAATCACAGGTAACTAACTAACTAACTACCCTACTCCTACCCGGGGGANAACTTGCTTCAAATATGCAGGGAGGACAACTATGTGAGGAGAAGTCTACTTAATGGATGAATCCATGGGAATGTGGGACAACGTTGCATACGCAATATCACTCATCCTTTTTCTTTGAGAATGCCCCTCTATATTTTTCACATCCAGGTGCGATGTGTACCGCAACAGATTGCTAGACATGACTTTGTCTGATGTTGGGTCAGATGCCTACGAACCATTGTGNATTGTGACTTTCTGTTGTAGAGGGCCCACTCGCCAGGTGAACACTTGCCACGTCCTCGATCATTGCTGCTGTTTGTTCGCGAACGCCTATTCGCTGAACCATTATCCGCCGGCTCACGGTTAATCAGCAAATTGTCCTTTTTCCCATCTTCTATCTGGGGACGTGCCCAGTGGCATACAGCGCTGTTGGCTGTGGATGTGAGCTCTCCTTCCACCTTCGGGATTCGAGGAACTATACAGTTCTACTGGAAACCCATTACACATTTCGTTGTTAATGATCTAGTTCAGCACACAGTAAAAGATACACGAAAAACTCATGGCGCTTCTTGTGGTCATTTTTCGATCGGTTACTGTTCGGTACTATTGAACTCAGTCATGGAATGACAGAAATGTAGTCTCTAGATTTAAATACAAATGGTGTTTGGAAATGATGTGCAACAATTGTTGCTCGGGATGCAGATGTTGATGTTGGTGAGTTCTCCTAGCTGGAAGTGTAGTTCGCAGACGTTTCGTAGTCAGGTTAGGCAACATCAGTGCAACTTCAGGGGAAATTTTTCTAGCCGGCAATCTTCCACCAGAGAGTAACTGTTCTTCCTTCACGAGTGTTTGAGAAGGCATGTATTGCCCGTGAATGTCCAGTATAAACCACCAGTCAACTGTTGAGCTGGATAGGATCTCATAAAAAAGAACGGTCGAGAATGATTCGTGTGCTCATCAGTGATGCACACCATCGACTGACCAAATATCAACAGAAAGAAGAAAGTTTGTTCGAGTATGATGAACAGAGCATTGCTAGAACAGTTAGAAAAAAGCGATATCACTAGGAAATAACCGTATGAGGCAAGTCACAAAAGAGAACGGCTTCAGAGGAAATTAGACAGAAAAACCCCCAAGACTTCTCCGAAGTTGCACTTATGATGTTGCCTAGCCCGGCTGCGAAACGTCTATGAACAACACTTCCAGCTTGGAGAACACACCACCATCAACAAATGGTGTTTGTTTATAAATTTTCACATCACGTAATGTTGCAAGATAAACTGCTCGTTGGTCCATTATCCGTTCATCCTCCAGCCTTTTGTTTGCATATATTTGAGATGTAAACTTTTGCCGTGAGATTTTCCATCACGTATTTGACTTTCGCATCCGAAACCATACTGAATGTGATCTCCTCTCTTTTGAGTAAAGATTACATATTTTCAAGTGCATTAGAATTGTGGCTGTTAGACAGCAACTCTTATGTATATTCGACCGTGAAATTATCTGTTTTCGGATATCTAACTGAGAGTATGTATTGAGAAATGGCTTTTGTCGACCAAAGACTACAAAACTTCACTTGGAACATGATAGAGTGCTTCGTCCTGCAGTTTAACCACTCTTCGAGAACAACTTTCATAGAACCTGTAAGAGCAATTTTCCGTATGACTTTTCCGCTTCCAACAGTATCTGGGATCTTCTATCCATGCATTTAAATGACAACGGAGAAAAGTTTCTTAAGTATTTTGTCCCACCGACGGGAATACGGTCGCTTCCATGTCTCTTAATGGTCTTCGATACAACTAAATAAGGGCAATAATACCAAAGAATACGTAAAATAATAGCTCACTAAGAAATGTTGATTTGGTAAACATCCTATTGGAAATTGCTTTTACAAACATGAAAATACCGTAGTACCTGAGGGAAAACGATATTTAGTTCTGATTTTCAAACTTTTTGGAGTTTGATATTTTTAATTCCTATTAAGGATCTCGTTTTGCTTGGAGGTTTGCACGTTAATGGATGGGTCTTTAGCGACACAATGTACGTATCCGTAGTGATCCTCAATAAATAGAAAACCGGATTCGACTCAAACTCTCTTCAGTACACTCGTGAATGCGATGAGGATCACACAGATCCACTCTATTCGGCTCTGACAACCGACAGGAGGAGCTTTGAGTCTTCGGTCAGAACGGCGCTATACACAATGCTCATGAAAACTATACATGATACTCAGCTCAGGCAAACCAAGGTGGCTGATTTGATTGGACTTACAAATAACAGCAAAACCTATGGGGTAGTCTGATCACACAGTATAATGCGAAGGAAACTTTTGTCAAAGACACGCATGCGCATATAACCACAGAACATCACTCCGGAAAAACTGTGCCAGACGGGAAATTTGCGATACCCATTTGTGCTGCTACTTTTCCCATTACTGACGGAGCTCGAAATCTCGTCATTCGTAAATCATCTGTTAACGGCAATTTAGTCCATCAGTAGGGCTTCGGTTTTGTTGTTCAGAAAAGTGCCTATTCCGTGCTGAACTAAGAAGCGAGCTTCACCCTCTCCGTTTGCATGAGATAAATAACGTGAATTCGGACCCAGTGAAATAGAACGTCTCTTACTACTGGCATACTGGAGTGACTCTTACAATACGCAGCACTCTTCAATCACTATGACATCCATTACAGTTGCAAAATATGTTCGTTGAGAAATTTGTGTTAGTCCACACGTTGAGAGTTTCAGATTCAGAGGTTGACGAGGTCGTAGACTACAGTTTATTCGGTGGTATACTGGTAAAGACGATACTTAGCACCCAGTCCTAATGAGCGACTAACAAATTGGTTTCGGGAATGTTACGGATCAGAAGAAGAGGCAAATGGAGGAAGTTGGGTACGGAAAACAAATAATTAAACAAATGCTGAGGAGTAGCCTACTTGTCAATACCAATCTCGCTCGATGCAATGGTAGCGCGATCCTACCCGACAAAGGATACGGTATGAAATTCTTTAGAGTTTGTATAATTATTGGTATTTGATTGACGGTTAATTCTAGGAAGTCCAAACACCAAGTAATA